CTGTGGGCGGTTTTTTCGGCGAGGAGGGGGGGAGCGACGCGGGTGCTCGCTGCAGAGGTGGAGGCGGAGGGGAGTCATCCTATTCCCTGTTCCTGGTACATCTCGGGCACGCGCTGACGTGGGCTACAGATCCGTAGGTCGGTCGCGTGGTCGCGGGAAGAACGTAACCATAGCCATGGCCGGCTCGGCATAAGGGTTTGATGCAGACTCCTTCACCCCAGTAAGCATTACGTCGGTGCATTGCTTGTGTCGTTAGTGCTTGCATCTTGCACTCATGCCTTTCATCATGAAGTGTCCTCGAAAGAAGCCTGGCGAAGGACCCACTCATATGCAATGCGAATCACGCAGGGTATGACCACGTCCTCGTAGGTGGCGCGCTGCGGCAAAAATGGGGCACGGAAACTGCGGATGAGAGCCGCGAAACGTGCCAGAGGTGTGCTGGCATTTCCTGGGAGGCGTATACGAACGCTGCCACGCCAGCCTTCGGTAGAGTTCGGCAACGAAACGTGTGAGAAGTGTGCCGAAATGAGCTGGGGGGCGCATGCGAGCGGTGCCACAGGATGGAACTTCATATAGGGCCACGAAACGTGTGAGGGGCATGCCGTACTCGACGGGGGGGGCGCATTCGAGCGCAGCCATTGGGGCCTCCGGTGGAGCTCCCAGAGAGACCACGAAATGTGCGAAGGATGCGCCGAAATTGGTGGGGGGCGCATGAGAGCGCCGCCGCTGGGGCCTTCCGTGGAGATGCCTATGGGGCTACGAAACGCGTGAGTGCGTGCCGAAGTGGGCATGCAGAGAGCAAGAGCACGATGCTGACGATAGAACTGCGAATTGGTATCAGGATGACAATGAAGATGAGGACTGGGATGAAAATGAGGATGAAGATTGAGATGAGGATAACATAGGACGAGCAGCAAAAAATGATCTTCATAATGCGAGGATAATGAGAACTAGAATGACAATGAGATGAAGAAGGAGAGGACGAGAAGGATGATGGTGATGATGATGACGGTGATGAGGATGAGATTGATGATGTTGATGTATTGACGCTGATGGTGGCTGTGATGATGGAGATGGTGATGAAAACACTGATGGCAGCGATGATGATGATGATGATGATGATGATGATGGTGACGCTGATAATGATGATGATGATGATGATGATGATGATGATGATGATGATGATGATGATGATGATGATGATGATGATGATGATGATGATAATGACGATTATGAAGGTCACGTTGATGCTGATGTTGCTGACGGTGATGGCGGTGGTGGCGATGATGATGCTGATGCAGATGGCGAATACGACGCTGATAACGGTGATACTGGTGTTGATGGCGATGGTGGTGATGATGGTGAGCGTGATGCTGATGCTGATGATGATGCTGAATATGATGGTGATGCTGGTGATGATGGTGATGACTATTATGACGATGATGGTGCTGATGATGACGATGGCAACGACGACGATGATGATTATTGTGGTAGCGGTGGTGACGATGACGATCACGATGAGGAGTATGAGGAGGAAGGCGAGTTGTGCTGCGTTCCCCTCCCCATCCCTCACGCTGTTCGCTTCGACCACTGCGAGGCCTAGGGCACCTCCCCTGCACTCCGCGACAAAGTAGAGCTGACCCCACGAAGTACAGAAGAAGGCCTAAAGCGAAGTCCAGTAAAACCCGGCGGGCCGACAAGCGGCACAGCGGCCGATTGAAAGCCCTGCAATAGCAAGTTCACGATTCCGACATAAACCGACGACGACCTGATGACATAGTCGATCCCACCATCCCATGTACCCCTAATATTTGGACAACAACATGCGCACCCGTTCTTCGTAGGACCCGTCGTCGTAGTAGACCACGGGTTTCTCATTAGGTTCGGGTGATACCTCTTCAGCAGCGCGTTCGGTACGAAATCCTTCGCCTCGGCCACGATAGCCAAGGTATCGGCGGGGAGGTCATCGGCATCAAGGTGAGCAGGAATATCGGTATTGTCGCGAGGATCACCAGCACTCCGAAGATCAGCAAGATGATCCCCCGCACCACGACGACCCCCAGCACCAACAGGATCCGCAGGAGGATCCCCAACGCCGCGAAGATCCGCAGGAGGAGGCTCCACAGCACCACAACGGTCAGCAGGGAGGTTGGCTGTGGCAGCAGGAGCAGCAGCATATGGTTTTGGACTTGAGCCAAGATGGCGTACAGGTACCAGAGAGGGCCCAGTCCCCTGGGCCCGGGCGAAGGGAACTAAAAGCTAAACCTGTTCACAAAATTGTGCCGAACATTCACACAGGTCAACCTTTCTTGTAGGTCTAGCTGACCCAAGCTTGTTGGAAAAAAACACGCATCAGCACACGGGCTTGGCGACTGTCACCTGCCACTGTGTTCCCGCAATGCACGCCAGCGCATACGCACATCTTAGGAGAGGAGAACGGGAAAAGAGATCACTGGAACTGGCCGGAACCGTCGGACGCAGCACCGGACTCGGACACGAATGATGTCCAGCTGATGGACGCCCGATCCTTGGCGAACGTCCTGAGGGATGCAGCCTGCGATCTTGCCTTCTGGGAAAGATCCTCGCGCCTGCCGACCAGCTTTCGTTCCTCGTCCATTATGACTACCTACCAGACCACCCCAACCCAACCCGAAGACCCGAATTTCGGGTTGGGGGGGGTAAGGGTTCCACATGTGTTTTCTCGATGTTTCCCGACCCCCCCCCCACTAGAAATCGAGGGTAAATCTGAGCCTTCGGGTTGGGTTGGGGTGGTTTGGTGGGTGGTGACATTAACAGTAGTCGGCCGGACGCCATCAAGTCAAACAAAGCGGCGTTCACTTTGGTAACGTCGTCCTGTGTGAGCGGGTCGACCGGCATCCTACAGCATGGCACCCACCTCACGACCACCCTCGATCGCTCGAGAGACTCGCATATGATCGCCAAATCCAAGGCCGTCCTCCTATCCTTCGCACTGGCCGTCCCATCCTTCGCCATCGTATCAGAAATACTCTTGGCATCAACTACATGAATATGTCGTTCTCGGTGTCCGAGTCTGCAGTTCTGTCGAAGGACAATGGTAAATGGTCCTGCAGCTCTCGAACACTCTGGAATATCGACATCCTGAAACACAGCGTCTCTGCACAACACCTGCAGGCACTCGACTTCTGACGCCGCTGATGCGAGGGCCAACCCAACGTCTCTCCAACAAGGGTGGAGGGAAACTTCCTTCTGAGCTTCGACGGTCTCCACCCGAGGATCGACGCTCCCGGTTCTGCAGCACGCTCTCATCGGTAGCCAACGCCATCCAGAGCACCTTTGAGTCAACCCCGCTGGCGCTGGCCCCCACGCCTCCCGCGCCCGAGAATGCAATGAAAGCCATCTTGCTAGGTTCGAGGCGCCGCGCTGTCAGGCCCCTCGAGGCCGCGCTCCTCAGATGGCGCAATAACTTGCTGGCGCACGAGATGTCCCAAGACGTCGCCTGTCAATCTTGACGCAACGATGCTCGCCGCCCCCGAGGCCTCGGGACGCGTCTCCCGACCCACCCAGCTCAGCTTGTATATGAGGGACCTCAGTGCCTTGAACACCGTCGGATCCAACTGGGCGCCCTTCCTATCGAGCCCCCCGGGAGCCATGCTGAGGGGCCTGAGTTCCTCCAAGATGTATTTCTCCTGGTCGACGGTAATGCGCTGGGGGGCCCGCGTGATCCTACGTCTTGCGTAGTCCACCGGCGACACGCGCAGGTCCCGGCACTTCCCGAAACGGAACCTAGACTCCAACATCGCTCGCGCCTGCTGCCTGACCTGGGGAGTCGACGAGGCGATGAAGAAGTCGTCGACTTCGAATAGTATCATGCTCTCGAGACCGTTCTCTTTGGAGTGCGTCAACAGCCAGCAGGGTTCCCGCAGGGACCTCATATACCCGCGGTCGGAAAGAAGCTGGACCACGGTCTTCCTCCACGCAACAGGGGCATCATCCAGGCCGTGCACATTCACGAGGAGCTCGATAAGAGCTCCCTCTTCGACCTGAACTTCGTGGCAGAGCTCGACGTACATGGGGCCATCTTCTCGCTTCATCGGATTCGACTGACAGAAAGTATTGTTCACGTCGGCTATGTCCCCGTACATACCGTGGTTCATAAGAACCTACATGAACATCATCAGGGATGCTGACTGAGGAGTCGGCGCGAAGACTGCTAGGGCACCTGCGCCGGGGCCCTGATGGCCGCGGACACACCGCCTAGATATTGCAGTCGGCTCCGCGGAAGTCCCCTCCCGAGGTTCCCATCGGCGAACCATGCGAGACGATATTATCTTGCCAGGCTGCATCTCACGAATCATCTTCGCTTTCTCGGGAGGAATGATGCGCGCGGCCCCAGAACCCTCCATAATTTCCCGCTCGGCCCCGTCGGAAATCTCAAACTTGGCCCTCTCAGCGGGAGTGAGCTTGGACCAAACAGTTCCCCCCCGGCTAGCAGCGAAGATCTCCGCGTCGCACTTGGAATTACGGGACCCCCCCGCGGCGTGCCAAACCTCGCTCTCGGAGGCGGAAGGGCCAGAGTTCTCCTGGCGAAACTCCACCCGCGCCCCTCCGGACGGTTCGGCGCACGCGAGAAATTACGAGGCCCCACTATTCCCCCCGCGATGCTCTGAGCTGCTGGCGCCTGTCCCACGTCGGGGCGACCTCGCTCGCTCGCGCCCGGCCCTGGCGGCTATCTGATCCTCGATGTCCTGGACTCGATCTGGGACACTCCTGGGGCCGTCGGCCATCAGCCTCGCACCTACGGCCGGCGCCGGCGTCGCACGGGAAGGGGGCGGAGGCGAAGAGAGGGAGGTGCCTGGAGCAGGCGGAGGAGGCAAAGCAGGAGGCGGAGGCAACCCAGACCCGGAGCCAGGACCCGGAAGGCCAGGAGGAGGCTCGATCCTGGGCTTCTTGGGCTCTCATGCTTCCGAGTTTCGACTAGCCTGGCGGCTCTCAGCCGCGCTCCTGGATGTCTTCCTCTG